CGGCTCCCCAGTCCGCTGACATATACTTGCCCAGGTATGTGAATTTGCAAAATACGGCAAATGTGTGACCCTAGAAGTTGCACTAGAAGTAACACAAATTTTCCGATTCTGCGTGCCAGTCTGAGTGTGTCCTCATGGTGGCAAAAGAAGACGTTTTCAAGCACCTCTCAAGCACCTGTAGAGGTGCTTGCAATTTGCTCAATCCCGGGGCCCCACAGGCCGCCGACATTTACCACCCCATTTGCCAATCTGCTGGCAGGGAACGCTCATTGTGACAGCTACACCATAGCTAATTTTGTGAATCCGCAAAAAAGCCCCTTTGTGTGAGTAGCACTTTTGTGGTTGTATCTGGCCGCAATTAAACTCCGTACGAGGGAGTCCCAAAATGGGCCTTGCTCCACTACTCTCGACATGCACAAAAGATAAAAAATATGGCAATGTATCTTTCGAGGTTTTACCAGAGGATTCAGTCTCACTTTGCACATTTGAGAGTAGTGGAGCGAGGCCCAATAACTGCAGCTGGAGCACTAGTACCTTTCCCCGCGTGGGAAAATAGGGAAAACTGGCAGTTTTCCCAAACTCCTGAATATTCGGAGTTCGGGCCCGACGACGACTGCCATTGATAAATCTGATCGGCGGCCGTCATTTCGTTTCGGCCTCTGAAAAGGTCGGAAGCCTACGCGAGGCCCGCTATTTTCCTGAGCGACAAAGGTAAAAAAGGAGGAAAAAAAATGAGAAAAAAAAGGGAAAAGAAAAAAAGGGAAAAATTTGCATTTGTACTCCACTTAAAGATGGGAATACCCACTATACCTAGTCCCAGCGCGAACTTGCGTCTATACCCTGAGGCCGTTCAACTTTGCATAGTACCCAGTTTTTCCCCCGTAGGTGTACCCAATCCCGCAGGCCCTGAATTCGGAGTACCAAATTATGCTCATGGCCAGCAAGTAGACTGTTGTGGCCCAACGGCTGCTGGGTATGAGCATAATTTCAGCCATCCGGTAGCAGGGTATATGAACAATTTGGCCGCTCCTCCTCAGGTCTCGGGTATGCGCATAATTTTGCCTGGGTATGTCCATAATTTGCGCATTCCGGTAGTTGGTTATAACCGCAATTTCGCAGTACCAACCTGGGTCCACCGGCTATACCCAGTCCCAGGACCAACTGCGTCTATACTCAGAAAACGGCTGGTGGAAATTGTTTGCATGGCCAGAACCAAGGTGGACCCCGAATGAAGATGTTCCCCTCTTTTTTCTCCCACATCCTGCGCAGTCAATCCCCTGGAACTCCAGGCCTGGAACTCCAGGGTAATCAATGCTGGTAGGACCATCTCAAGAAAAGAAAAAAAAAAGGACTTACAGGATAGGGTATGCCTACAAAGTCGAACAGCCTCAGGTATAGACGTAAGTTCGCGTTGGGACTGGGTATAGCGGGTATCCCATCTTTAAGTGGGGTACGGATGCCGTTTTCCCCCCAAAAAAAGAAGGACCGTGTGCGTAATGCGCTGACGGTTCTATTTGCGGGATCGTCCCCCCCAAAAAAAAAAAAAAAATTTGCGGGATCATGTTTTTTTT